ATGAAAAAAAAAAAACAAAGAAAAGAAAAAAACTATAATTAACAAAAAAAATCACGGGTCCCTTATTTCCTTCTTTTCTTTTTTTTTTCATTTTGTTTCCAAAGAAAACAGTAGTTTTATTATGGCCCAGTGCCCAAGGCAGAAATACAATGTCAAAGAACTGCAGATTCAGGGGTCACAAGGTCTCTCTCTCGAATCCTGCTTCGTCAGGTGGAGGCCCTCCCCTGACTTCCAAAAGCACTACCAAATCCCCGATTCCCGCTCTCAAAAAGCATCACGACAAAAAAAATTCTTAATTAAGGTTTGTACTAATTCCTAGGTCCCACTACCCAACCTAACCCTAATGAACCCAAAATCCCTAAACTCCAGTACTAAACCGGTTTTTATTTTTTGCCTAAAACGGCAATGGTAACCCCCCCCCCAAGAAAAAAAAACCCATCAATCACCAACATATTCCAAGTATTACGCAACAAATTGACAACACAACCCCTAATACACCAACACGAAAACCCATGAGGCCACCTAGGCAGATAAAAAACTTTCGAACTGTTAATACCAACAACCCTAAGAAGGAAACTAACAGGAAACAGTAAAAAAAAATACTGAAAGTTACTAAATATTTACTAAAAAAGCAACGGTACTATGAATAGAAACGAAAAACTGGCATTAAAGAAGTGGAAGCAGATATCTCCAGGAAAACCAAACCAAAGGTGAAGTAAAGAACGAAATCGAAGGTTGTCTAAACCGATGCACCAAAGAGTGCTTAACGGCGGCGCCGTCCGTCCGCAGTAAGAATCAGTACTTGGAGAAAAATAACATCTAATTCGCCTTCCAGTTAGCAACTAAACGCCAGCAACAATCGCCTGTCACTGTCTGACTTAGGGAAGCCGATTCGTGGGCAGAGCATTCGTCATACTCCGATAAGTCTTCTCCCCTCAGGCTGGCCAATCGGTGAGAAGCACATGTGCAGCAAAACAGCAACCACAGCAGATACAGATGCCAATCGTGGAACTCCCAAGTGTCGCAAAACCATCGATGCGCGGTCCATAAGGTTCCATATCTGACGACGAAATGCTTGAGAGAGAGCGCGATCTTGATTACAATGAGCATATGTATTACAATTAACGTATGTAGAGGGGCAGCGGGGCTCGAAGTTATAACCAATGATATCCACAACACGCCACACTCCCACTGGCATACAGCATAACCCTTGTGGTCAGGCTGTGCCAGTCGTGTTTGTGTTCTCGACTC